CCACCACAAGGTCCTGGTTGGTTCCACCATGGAGCTGTGGGTGGTTCCAGTGCCAGGTCCTGGCTGGTCACAGCACGGGGCTGGGGTTGGTTCCAGGTCCTGGTTGGTCACAGCRCGGGGCTGGGGTTGGTCCCACCATGGGGTCTGAGCTGGTTCCAGGTCCTGGTTGGTTCCACCATGGAGCTGTTGTTTGTTCCAGTACCAGGTCCTGGCTGGTCACAGCATGCAACTAGGGTTAGTCCCACCGCCAGGTCCTGGCTGGGCACAGCATGGGGTCCTGGTCATTCCCACCATGAGGTCCTGGTTGGTCCCACCATGGAGCTGTGGTTGGTTCCAGAGCCAGGTCCTGGTTGGTCCCACCACGGGGTCTGAGCTGGTTCCAGGTCCTGGTTGGTTCCACCATGAAGCTGTGGTTTATTCCACCACCAGGTCCTGGCAGGGCACGGCACGGGGTCCTGGTCAGTCCCACCACAAGGTCCTGGCTGGGCACAGCATGGGACTGGGGTTGGTTCCAGTGCCAGGTCCTGGTCATTCCCACCAAGAGGTCCTGGTTGATCCCACCATGAAATTGTGGTTGGTTCCACCAAAAGGTCCTGATTGGTTCCACCATGAAGCTGTGGTTGGTTCCAGAGTCAGGTCCTGGTTGGTCCCACCATGGAGCTGTGATTGGTTCCAGTGCCAGGTCCTGGTTGGTCACAGCACGTGGTCCTGGTCACTCTCACCACAAGGTCCTGGTCATTCCCACCATTTTATCCTGGCCATTTTTCCATTTTATTCCCGCCATGGAATCCAATGCCATGGAATGGAAATTCTGGCATTTTTTGGGATGAGACCATCCCAAAATTGTGGTTGGGGGAGGAGAGGGGGCAATCCATGACCCTGGAATTGGAATTTCGGCATTTTTTAGGATGAGACCATGAAAAAATTGTGGATGGGGGAAGAGAGAGGGGAACTCCATGACCCTGGAGTGGGAATTCCAAAATTTTTTGGGATGAAAACATCCCAAAATCGTGGATAGGAGAGGAGAGGGGAAATCCTTCACCTTGGAACAGAAATTATGACATTTTTGGGGATGAAAACATCCAAAAATCATGGATGGGGGAGGAGAGGGGGAATGCTTCACCTTGGAATTGGAATTCCAACATTTTTTGGGATGAGAACATGAAAAACCCATGGATGGGGGTGGGAGAGGGAGAATCCAACACACTGGAACAGAAATTCCGGCATTTTTTGGGATGAAAACATCCAGAAATCGTGGATGGGGAGGAGGGAGAGGAAATCCATGATCCTGATTCAGCATTTTTTAAGATGAAAACATCCCAAAATCATGGATGAGGGAGGAGAGAGGGCAATCCAATAACTTCAACAGAAATTCCAGCATTTTTTAGGATGAAAACATCCAAAAATCGTGGATGGGGGAGGAGAGGGGGAATCCAACACACTGGAACAGAAATTCCAGCATTTTTTGGGATGAAGACATCTAAAATCCTAGATGGGGGAAATCCAACACCCTGGAATTGGAATCCTGACATTTTTTGGGATGAAAACATCCAAAAATCCTAGATGGGGGAGATTGGAATTCCAGCATTTTTTAGGATGAAAACATCCCAAAACACCCGGGAATTGGAATTCCAGCATTTTTTAGCACAAAAACATCCCAAAATCTCAAACTCTGTCACCAGGACAGAGCGCGAACCCAACGCAATTCCGGCCGTTTTTYCCAGGATTCCGGACGTGCGTGCTGACCGACAGCTGGGTGGACGACAGCGCCGGGCGCTCGGGTTCGGCCGCGCTCCTGCAGCGGCTGCGGCGTCACTTCGATCTGGTGCTGGAATCCCGGCRGCTCGGGATGCACAAACCTGATCCGAGGGTGTACGGCCACGCCCTGCGGGAGATGAGGGCGACCGCGCAGGAGGTGATGGGATAGCAAAAAAATTCCGGGGAATTGGGGGGTTCCATCCCAGAAATCCTTGGTTGGGTTTCTGGGAATGTGGAAGGTGCAGAAAGTGCTGGGATAGCAAAAAAATTCCAGGGAATGGGAGATTTTTCCATCCCACAAATCTTTGGATATTCCATGGGGTTTGAAACTTCAGGAGATGCCACAATCCCAGAAATCCCAGGGAATGGGGGATTTTCCATCCCAGAAATCTTTGGGTGTTCCATGGGGTTTGAAACTTCAGGAGGTGCTGGGATATC